CTGGAATTTATCGTTTCCAGTCCGTGCGGTTGGAGAGGCTCGCGCAGAGATCAGGCCGCACGAGGAAGAGGTGAGGATGAATGAGAGGCTGGGACTCTGTGACGTAGCCTGGTCTGATTCTTCACGGTCCGTGCTCAGTTTTAACTTTTCCGACAAACTCAGGGCGTACGTGAACGATGGGTTTGAGAGAAGCCTGGCGTTCACACGTCAGTCCTAAAATGCAGTGTTCTGCTAAGGAGTCTTCTGCTTAATCCGCTCTCCTTCCACTTTCCCTGGGTGCATCCAGCTTCTCTGACTTACTTCCTGCTGACCACAGCGTTGTCTTCCCTGCCGTTTCTGTGTGCCTTGTCTCCAAACCGGCTTGCCTGCTTTCACATTGATTCTTCTTCTGTGCCCTGTGGCCGTGGACTTCCTGGAGACCTGTGGTCACTGATACCTTACATTAATCTGTCCTGTACTTCTGTGTCCCGACATGCTTATTTGTCCTTCCACTCTTTGTGTTCTGCCCCTGTATTTCAATCTTTTTTCTTCATCTTTGACCTAAGACCTTTATCTCTAAAGACCTTGGACCTCTTTGCCCAAGCCTGCAACTTCCTTCTGGACATTTCTATCTGGGATGTTTCACTGTCCTCCATCCAGACTCACAGACCCCAAATTTAAGTCATCTTCCTCATTTCCAGTAGGTCTCCTCTCCCTGACTTCCCTGTGTGTCTTAGTGACACCGCCATCCTCCCTGTCACCGAGGACCCCACCCCCACCGTAGTCTCACCATCTCTTTTTCCCTGTGTTTCTGTGGCTCTGTGTAGTTTTCAGCCCCACCCTTGCCTGGTGTCCAGCCTGCTTCCTCCCTGCTCTTTCTGCCTCCGGACTCGCATCTGTTGGGTCCCTTGTGCTGAGGGTGCCAGGAGAGCTGTCCTGAACACCGTTCTCCTGTGTGAGGACATGCTGGGGTCCCCGGGGTTTTTTCAGTCGCCAACAGGAAGCATCTGGCGTGCGCTCTGGGCCCTTCTTGCAGCTTTTCGGTCCATTCTGAGCGCCCACCCGTCCCTGCAGCTGGGCCCGTCTCTTCCCTCCGCCCTCCGTATGTACTGGGTTTGTCCCCCCCTCTGACCTTTGCCACTGCCTCCCAGCCTCGCCTGTCCCCAACCTTAGCCATAGCCCTTTTGTTTGTGTCCTACCCGCAGGGAAAGATCACTGAGGAGCCTTTTCTGGTCGCTCCTGCTGCAGAGCTACCCTCCTCTGAACCAGGCAGGGCCACTTCCTTTTCTGGAAGAGGATACAAGAAATTGGGGGACAGGAGGAAGGAAAAAACCACATTTGGCTGTATATTCTTTTGTTCTTCTTGAATTTTATACTGTATGTACGAATTATTGTACTTATTCAGTAAAATAATTTTAGCACACATTTACCAAATATATTTGAAAATTACAGGTTATTACCCTGTATCATGCCTTGACCTTTCCATGGGCATGTGTATTGGTTTCCCCATAGCACCTAACTCAGTGCCGCTGGTACCTCGGAAGAGCTTAGTGAAGAGCTGGGTACAATAAATGGCGGAAAGGGTGAGGGGTGGTGGGGACAAGCCATTAACAGATTAGAAGGCACCTTGTACTTAACCTAACCTCTTCTTCCTGAGTAATTTCAAAACCAAAGAGGAAAGGATCGCTTTCAACTTAAGATTCCTAAGAATGGAGGCACAGTGTACCCCTGCTCCTGCTGGTTATAGAGTTTTAATCTGATAATTAAGAATTCTGCCTGGCTAAGATTTTATAGAGAGAAAATCCTAAAGACTCATAAAAATACATTAGAACTAATCACTGAATTCAGTAAAGGTTCAGGATATAAAATTAACCTACAAATATCAGTAATGTTTTCTACACACTAAAGAATTTTCTGAAAAAGAAATAGATCACATTTATAATAGCATCAAAAGATAAAATACTTAGGAGTAAATTTATTTTCACCAAGGAGATGAAAGATCTCTGAAAACTACAAGACATTTTTTAAAGAAATCAAAGAAGACAAATAAATGGGAAGATGTTCCATGTGTATGGATTGGAAGTATTAAGTTTGTTAAAATGTCAATACTTCCAAAAGCCATTTGTAGATTCAGCGCAATCCCCATCAAAATTCCAGTGGTGCTTTTTTTTTTTACAGAAATTTTTTAAAAAAGTCCTAAAATTTTTAAGAACTGCCAAAGACTCCTAATAGCCAAAGCAATCCTGAGAAAGAAGACCAAAGCTGGAGACATCACACTGCCTAATGTCAAGCTACACCACAAAGCTGTAGTGATCAAAACGGTATGGTACTGCTGCAGATGGAGATGGGACCCAGGCTCTTGGAGGACAAAAGCAAAGAGTTGAACTAACCACACAGATATTGTAAAGCAAGGCAAGCAGGACATTTATAAGGGACCTACACTTCCCAAGACATGGGAGCAGGCCGTCAGCGGCCAGGGAATAGCTCGCTTCTGTTGAGTGGCTGGCAGGGGTGTCCAGCCCACGGGCAGCACGTGGCCCAGGATGGCGGTGAATGCGGCCCAACACAAAATCGTAAATTTACTTTAAAACAGTGTGAGATTTTGTTGTGATTATGTGTTGCAGTGTATTTAATGTGTGGCTCAAGATGACTCTTCTTCTTCCAGTGTGGCCCAGAAACAGCAAAAGGTTGGACACCTGGCTACAGGCTTTATAGCATTTTTACTTAAGCATTTTACTTATAGCATTTTTACTTACTCTACACATGTGACTTCCCACAGCCCTCCTAGATGGCCCACTCAGAGGGAAACCACAGTGCTGATGATTATTAGGTGTCACAAGGCGATTCTTGGAAACCAGAATGCTGACTGATAGCAGCTGCGGTGTCATGGGATTTCCTCTTCCATCGCCTGCCTCAGTGCTGGCATAAAAGCAGACAAATGGACCAGCAGAATAAAAGTGAGAGCCCAGAAATACACCCAGTACGGTCAGCTGATGCTTGACAAGGGAGCCGAGAATGCTCAGTGGGAAAAAGACAATCTCGCCAATAAATGGTGCTGGGAAAATTGGATATTCACATGTAAAAGAATGAAACTTGACTCCTAGCTTACTTACACCATTCACAAAAATTAACTCCAAATGGATTAAAGATTTAAATGTAAGACTCGAAAGCATGAAACTCCTAGGGAGAAAGATCCTTGACATAGGCCTTGGTAATGGTTTTTTATAAGTCACACCTAAAACACAAGCAACAAAATAAAAAATAAATGAAGTGGACCACATCAATGTGAAAAGTGCCTGCACAGCAAAAGAAACCAAGAAAGCAGACAGACAGCATACGGAACGGGAAAAACTATTTGCAAACCATGTATCTGATAAGGTGTTAGTATCCAGAATATGATATATGACTCAATATTTAAAAATCTAATTAATAAATGGGCAAAGGACCTGAATAGACATTTTCCCAAAAAAGATGTATGAATGGCCAACAGGTACCTGAAACGATGCCCAGCGTCACTGGCCACTGTGGAACCGCAGAGTACGTCCGCGGCGAGAGAGCGCCTCAGGCCGACCAGAGTGGCCATCGGAAGGCTGGGGGAGGACAAGTGCCGGCGCGTGTGTGTGTGTGTGTGTGTGTGTGTGTGTGTGTGTGTGTGTGTGTGTGTGTGTAGCGGAGGGGGCCCTGTGTGCTGGTGGTGGGATCGTAAACTGCTAAAACCCTTACAATCACACAGTATGAAGTTTCCTCAAACAATTAAAAATAGAACTCCCACATCATCCAGTAATTTCACTTCTAGGTGCAAACCTGAAGGAAACAAAACCGCCAGCCCCAGAAGGGCTCTCTCTGCACCCCCGTGTTCACAGCAGCGTCATTTACAGCAGCCGGGGCGTGGGGACGCCCCAGATGTCCACTGATGGACCAGTGGATAAAGAAGTTGTGACACACACACACACACAGTAGAGTAATATTTAGCCATAAAAACGAGGGCCACCTACCATTTGTGACATTGTGGGCGGACCTTGGAGGCATTACGCTAAGTGAAGTAAGCTGGGCGGAGAAAGGCAGGCACCACAGGGTCTCCTGGACTGTATGTGTGGAATCTTGAACAAAACGGGCCAGACTCACGGAACGGGGTAGGTACGCAGTTGGCAGAGCTGGGGGTCAGAGGAAGGGGGTCAACAGGCACGAACTTCCCGAGAAGGTCCGTGAGTCTAGGGGTGCGATGGGCGACACGACGACTGTAGTTAACACTGTCGCATGCGGGACAGTTGTCGGGAGTAGACCCCATGAGTTCTCGTGACGAGGAGGAGTTTTTGTTTTTATTGTATCTGTGAGGTGATGGTTATTAGCTGACCCTACTGTGATAAGCATTTCACGCTGTATCCAGGACATATGAATCAAACCATTGTGCTGTGTACCCTAAACCTCAGGCAGCGACACATGTCAGCAACTCTGCACCCACAAAAGCAAATAGCTAAAGAGAGCAGGGGCCATTTCTGCAGTTCGGGGGTGCGCACCTGTGCAGCCCCGTCCAGCATTACACGCTCAAGAACGTGCACGTTCTGCCTGGAGTGAGCAGAGGTCTTCAGCCTGGGAGAGGACCCTGCCTTCAGTTGGGAGATTTCTTCTTGGAGCCCTTGGGGTTTCACCTCTGTCCCACCCCTCCCTACCCCAAGCATTCTGGCCACCAGAAATGCTTCCCCACGTCCCACCCCCGGGGGTAGTGAGACTGCACACACACTGCCCCAGCCCCGCCCCGCCCCACCCCACAATCCGGGCCGGGCTCCCCTGCGGGTCCAGCTTTGCACGGTGGGTGAGGGGCCAATTGCAGGTTGGACACGACTAAGCAGCGCTGTTCCTTGAAGGCAGTGGTGTTTTAAAACCAGGAAGCACGTGCCTTGCCTTCTGTGGGTTTGAAGTCGATCTTTGAAAAGCAGTACAAACTAATACAATACTGACTAGTGGCTGTTACTTTTGCCCTCCTTCTTGTGGTAACACGTGTGTTTGTGTTTCTCTTGCAGAGCGTGATCGAGAAGGGAGGATAAAGCCAACTTTCAGAACAAGCAGAAGTCCTTCAACGTTAATTCCAGAGGTGGGACATTTTTTTTCCTAGTGAGAAAGTAACCTATTTAAAGAGAAGGCCGCTAAAAAGAACACCAGAGAGCAGACTCGACAGAAGCCCGTCACAGTCTGGTCAGCAGCGACTCGCAGCGCCAAGGCCAAGACCAGGACCAGCCCTGAAGGACCCGCTGCAGCGCTAATAAACCCCAAGTGTGGTGACAACAAGGGAAACCCAGCCCTCTCCGCCTTTTGTGCATTTTGTCCAACTTTCTCTCCTAACCACGCTCCATCCTTCGGCCACCGCCCCTGCAGCAAAGCTGGGGGTCGGGACAGGACGGGAGAACTGGGGCGGGGAGCGGGGAGGGCAGCGCGGCTGTGTCTCAGGCCGGCGTGCGGGGCGGAGTTGTCCGGACTGTGGCGCGTGGGGTTTCTCTCTGTTTCTTTTCTCTCTCGACTTTGTAAGAGCCATTTCATTTTAACTGTGGCGATCACGTAAGAAGACAAAAAGGAGAGAAAATGTACCTCTTTTACTGGAATAATGTTTATGATTACAAGTGAAATAAGGCTTTTTTTTTTTTACCAACGTAAAGGCAACTTGGCTCGTACGACCCCTTCTCTATCATGAACACTGACACCTTGACTTCACTCACTACCAGTAATAAATATATTTTCTGACGAAGACTGGCGTTGCAGCCTGGGGCCTCGTGTGTTTCTTCCCCTGGGTTAGACGGCTGTGCGTACGGGAATCGAGTTGATTCGTATTTTCAGTTTGCACGTGCGCTGTGCCCTTCTCCGGAAGAGCTCCGGAACGCTTTGCAGGGCCTCGGCCGGGCAGGTGATACTCAGAACCTGCCGCTTAGGCAGCAGAGTAGGATCCGGTGAGATCTTCCCAAATGGCACGGCCTTCCTTTCCCTGGGATGGCTGAAGCCATGCTGCCTGTGGCGAGAACAAGCTTAGATAACCTTGGCTGTGAACTTCTGACCCTGTGACCCATGAAAATGTTATTTAGAAAAAGTCAGTCAACGTCGAATGTTTTTCCTCCTCTTTCCAATTTCATTAAAACTCTAATTATAACTCACTTTTTTACCAGGGGATTGGTACTTCACCCCTGGGTTTTGGTAAGTTGGAAATCGGTCTTCACACGGACGCTCAGTGGACAGGCCTTTCCAGGAAGAGATGGAGGATAAAATGCCAGGGATTTGTGGTGTTGTCTGAGTACCTTTCGTTATGTAGAGTTTTTATTTTGTTACAGAGAGGAAACACTTCAGCAAAATAATTAGGAATACAGGCTTTGGCTCTGACCGATGTGGCTAGCAGGTTGGGTGTCCTCCAGCAAAGGGGAAGGTCGTCAGTTCGATTCCCTGTCAGGGCACATGCTGGGGCTGCGGGTTGGTCTCCAGTGAGGCAGGAGGCACCTGACTGATGTTTCTTCCCTCTCTCTCCCTCCCTTCCCCTCTAACAATAAGTAAATAAATAAAATCTTAAAAAAAAATAGAATACAGGGTTTGGAGTAAGGCGCATCCGTGTCCATATTGTGACTCTGCTACTTTCCCACCTGTGGGACCTAATTGAACCCCCGCTCCAAACTGCACCTCTGATTTCTCAACTATTGGGGTTGGGGTGGAAGAACCTCCAGTGTAGATGTACACCCGCCGGGTCCAGGGCACACTGCTGTTGGTCTGTGTGATTACTCAGTGAACTGGTATTCGGAGTTGGGGACATGGAAAGACTATCCACATGCCCAGATACCTTTCAGAGAAAGTCAGGATGAACATCGCCCGTGTTGGGGAAATCGCAACCAACCTGCACTAAGTGTGGTCTCCTCCGTGTACATGACGGCATCTCCGTGTCACCACTGCGGACCTGAGGTTGATTCCGAGTGGCTGCGTTGACTCTCCCACCACAATTACCAAGAGGCTCTGTGATTACTGTTTAATGCAAGTTCTTGTTTTGCGGTATATATTTTTTTTAATGGTACAAACTGAGCTGAGTTTGTTTACGTGGGAAGGAAGGAAGCAGCACGTTTTGGCAGTGTCGGGCTAGCACCCAGGTAACCATGCGGGAGAAGGGATAGGTACACACAAAACAAGTGTTTACTCAGTGACTTGCAAATCCACTAACTCACCAATCCCCTCCTAGTCGGCTTTGCTTTGCAAGTTAGAGCCAAGAACTTGGCACATGCAGACTGCCAGTCTTCTCACTGGCCAAGAAATGCAGCTTTAAAGAGCCAAGCGTGGAGAGCTGGTGACAGCCCTGGGAACTGGGAGGGTGGTTTGTCAGGACGTCTCTCCCCCTCACCTGGTTATTAATGCATCGTCCTGATAACCATGATGGATGCCAGGGACAGCAACAGCATTCTGGGGGGCATCAAAGGGTGGGGTGATGCCTTTCTCTCCACCTTTGGAGACCTCCCTGTGGATCACGTCCCAGCTCTGTCCCGGTCACTGTTAACTCGATGACAACCGCTTGGGAAGAATGTTGTGCTTTTTGAGTGTTATAGGAGTGACACATTCCAATCAGTTCCTCCATTAAATAGAACACACCTTGAACCACGATACTTCTGCTCATGAAGCCAAGAAGACTACAGTGTCTTGAAAGCCCAGGCAGATGTCATCACACTGGACGGATGTCTGGTGAGCTAGAAGACAGCTGGGTGGGACCAGCACGAAGTCCTGTCTTTGAAAAGTCAGTAACTTATTACAGAAAACGTGCCAACATGTAATGGTTTAGAAAATAATTGAGTAATCCTTATTAGTAGCAGATGTGGACTGCTAAAAGCCAAACACTGTGGCTTGCTGGTCTACCAATGCGACTCCTCTCCCTAGCAGCTGTAAGCGGTATTTTGCTTAGAACTGAACAGGCGGCCAGATGTCCTCATCAAGTCTGCCTTAGCTGTTGGGAACCTGTGGTTCTTAGCTTGATGTCTTTCAGCCCACAGGTATAATTGCTTTTGCCAGAAACCCACAGGATAATTCTCTCTGCCCATTTCAGCTGTAGGAGCTGACTCTTTTCAAGATTTAAGATTTAGATCAGTTGAACAACTGAAAGAGCAGCAATAGCTCCCTGGGATTATTCCATTTTGAGCTAATAGACTTGAAAAGTTAATGCTTTCAATGAATGAGTTAGTGTTCGTTCATTCTCTGCCGCGGCTCCCCTACTCTCCCGAGTCTTCGTCTGTGTCTTCACGTCCCCTCTCGGTCGCTCCCAGCTTTATCTCCTCCTCTAGTGGGTTTAGACTTTTCTCACCCTTCTCTGCCTCTCAAGCCTTCCTGCTGAGAGGTAATTACCTGAGGTGCCAGATCCTGGACTCCTGCTCTGACGTCTGCTGCTGCCGCCTCTGGAACAAACCACTTCCTCAGGTTCCTTGCTGCCTGGGGCCTGCTCTGGTCCTCCCTCGGAGCAAATGATTGTTGATCCTTTCTTTTCTTCCCAGCCTCCTAAACCGTAAACGAGTTATCGATTTAGAACTTCTTTAGTGGTTTCTTCTATTTGCAATTCTTAATTTAGAAACCAGGTATATGGATTTTTTTAATTCTTTGGGGAAAAAAAAAACAACTAAGTTGGTATTTAGTTCTCCATAGCTTTTGACTGTGTTTATGATCCCCATTGGGAAAAAAAGGTTCCTGTCACTCTCCCGGGGGGATTCACTCAGTGCTCGGGCTGTGTCCATCCTGAAAAGTCTTCCTCTGGTGTGCAGCCGGTTTGTGCCAGAGACCCACAGTCCACAGCACCCCCAGGATGGGACACCATTGTGCCGATGCCCTGTGACCTGCTGTGGTCTGAGCAACGCATGTGCTGGCTCACTTAAATCCAGGCTTATTTTTAAATGTATTATAGTCATTTGTCGTAGCCTCTTCTCCCGCTGGGCCCTGAAGAGAATGCAAAATGTTGCAGGTGCCAGTTTTTAACTTTCTGCTTCCCTTGACCCACATAATGTCAGAGGTCCCAATGGTGACAGACAATGCAAAGGGAAATCAAGGGAGGGGACAGACAGGTTTCGGTCGTTAGGTGGGGCACTGGCCCTCGGTGATCATGGCTGTGTGGAAGGAAGGGCTGGACACTCTTCCCGTTAACTCCATTTTCTAGCCTCTGTCATTCCGAATCCACTGGAACAGGAAGAGTCCTTTGTAACTGTCCCGGTTCACATGATCTAGAGCTACATCCATTTTTTCATCGCCAGCTGCTCACGACCCAGGGGGCTGGGAGGAATCAGTGGTTCTTGGTGAAGTGGGAAACTTCAGAGCCCCCCTTGTATACCAGAGATGGACCCCACCCCCCATGCGCCTCGGAGAGTCCAGCTGGAGCCCGTCCGGCAGTCCTCTGTGGGTGGCGGTGGTTCCGATTGACAAGCACCAAAGACAAAGTGGACTTCCTTCCCCATGTCTGAACGGAGGGTCGCCTTGCTCATCTGATGAGGTCCGGTACACGAAGAATTTTGGCTGAAGGACCAGCTAGCTTCAGGAACTTTCTATTCCATTACCTTCCAAAACCCAAAGTCATTGCAACCTAGGCTTGGAAGAAAATGACTGACCACCTAATTCATTCTACGTTCAGACCGATGTTTGAAGATGATGAAATTTTGTACTTCGTGTTGCGTGTTGTTGCTCTCTCTCCTGGTGCCCCCCGCCTCAGTATTGCTGGCAGAACCCTAAAAAAGAGAGTTGGATTACTTTAGGGGAGACCACAAAAGTCACCATCCAACTCAAAAGCGTCTTCTACTCTTCCTATCCTTTGTCTTGAACCTTCAAAAGAGCCCCACAGCGCTCTGTAGACCATGAAAACCGGGCCTGTGTGTTAGGGGACAGTCCAGTGTTAAACCCACCTTAGATTCAGGAAACAATGGTTACTGTATTGACGCCTTTCGGTTAAGGAAGGCGAACATTGAAACTATGAAGTTCAGTCCCAGAAACTCCCTCAAACCAAGTCTACCACCTGAAACACAGCTGTGTCTCAGTGGAGTGAGATACTTTAAGCTCGTGAAGTGAGTGTGAGTGGGTGAGGCCTCCGTGCCCCTCAGAGATGTTCCCCTGCAGCAAAGCTTCCCTTCCCTCGCCTCCCCGGTTCCTCACCGTAGTCTCCACTCTGCCTCTCTGGGGCATCCTGACTGGGCGGTGGCCACTGTCACGTTGCTGAGAGGGCAGTCTGCTTTGACTATAACCCTGTCTGCAAAGCAAGTTCCATTCCCACCATGGCTTTTACACACAAATGTGGAAGCCCCAGAGGTCCGTGGCCAAGTTGCAGGGTGCCACCCTGCTCTGGCCACGCCTTTCCTTCCTGGACTCAGTCACAGCCCACGTAGTGGTCCACCTGGGGTGGAAAGCGGCCCATTTTGGAGGGGAAGCCTCCCGCAGGACCCTTTTCTGTCGGGTCTGTCCACCAACCGGGCCGGCCAGGCCACTGCTGGGCCCTCATCAAAGCCCCTAGCACGGCGCAAAGCCTGCGCTCACTCCCCCTCCCTGTCGAATACATAAAGTAGGGGCTGAGGGCCCACTGCTTATTATCTGCTGCCTGTGCATCCGAGAGGCAAGGGTAAAACCATTTTCATTTCATAGCCACAGGCCAAGTTCCTCCATGAGCATCAGGCTGCAGATTGGAGCTCTGCATCTCCCTAAAGTAATGTGCACCCTGATCTCAGAAGCATGACCACAAAGTCATTGAAAATAGTGTTCGGCACAGAG